CGTCACCCACCCCGCCTGCTCCTCCTTCTGCTCCTCCTCCTCCTTCCCCTCCTCGTCCTTCTCTTCCTCCTCCTCCTCTTCCTCCTCCTCTTCCGTTTGACGTTACCCCGGCGTGAAGCGCAAACTTGCCGCGCTCGAAGGCAAGAAGTGCAGAATGCCGACTCAGACGAAGCGCAAACGAGTAAGGCCTGGCGGGCGCAGCGAGAAGAAACATGTCAAAGAGACGCGAAAGGAGCGCAGGGCTGGAAGACCTCAGAGCATGCGCCCGCCAGGCCGCAGACATCAGCTAAGCCTGGTGGTGCCCGGGTCCCCCCCCGTACCTCAGCCATATAAGAAATGCCCCACACATCCCCCTTGGCGTATCCAGGCAGGCCGCGTCAAGGTAAAATGGACGCACGCTGCGAATAGACGGCAACAGAAACAGAGACATGCGACTCCGGGAGAAGGCGCACAAGAGAGAGAGAGCGCACAAGCGTTCAGCAAAATGTGTTAGGGCTGGCACAGACTGTGCTGGCTGGCCCTGTGGCAGACTAACAAATAACAATTCCTGGGCTGCTATCCGTGTCGTTTTCGGCTTCTCGAAGGGAGGCCCCGTTCACCGTTCCAGTTCATAGGGGGGCTGCCCCCGTCAGTGTGGCCGCCCTTGTGACTCGCATCCCTCCCCCCTTCAAAGTAGATCCTGTGACTAGACATGTTTTTCTGAGGCTAGCACTCTGTAGACTGGCCTGTGATATTGAAAGGAGAGTGTGTAGCGAAGCACCGGCGAATGTGGATAGGCTGAGCTGGCTTGTAGAGCGGCAGCTGTAAGGGGAGTCTGTAGGTGAGATAAAAAGGTGAGATAAAAAAAGCTGCGGTGAAAAGTAGGAGGTGACAGAGTACGGCAGCCCACAGTAGGGCAGAAGACCCTCCGCCGAAGGCCACAACGGCCAGACAGATCCCACATTCACCACAACCTCCCCATCCCCAGCCAAGTCCCACACCCCCTATATCCAGTACATGTTATTGGCTTCCGTGTGATAACATGGCTGTCACCAGGCAGGAGAGAGAGAGAGAGAGACACAGAGAGAGAGAGACTGTAGGTGACATGTGCGGCTTGCAGAAACATATGGTTGGACGGTCGTGAGAGAAATACTCGTGCATGCTGCTGGCTGAACTCAACTTGTCTGAGCGAGCTAATAAGCAGCGGTCAGTCTGAGTAGTGTGGCTGGCGCAAAAGTACTGGCTGGAGTGGCCCATCGCGTGTGTCACTGTGGACTCATCCTCCGCCACCTCCTCTCCACCCACAACCCATCCAACTCCAGAGACAAGACAGCAAGCATACTAAAAGAATTGTGAAAATGCATGGTCAGTCTAAACTGTGGGGCCACACCCTGCAAAGTGGGGCCTGGCATGCACTGTGTGAGCTGAGGCTTGAGTAGGCACACTGAGGCGATACGGTAGCTTAAAGCAGGCTGGACTTCTGGCAAGAGAGAAGATCAGAGCTGTATTACGGCTGCTGGATGTCCATTTTAACATAGGTTGATGGCTATGCCATTCTAAGCTGTGGTGCCACCCCCATCTAGCGAGGGGCCTAGAATGCACGATTGATCTGAGAGGCTTAAGTCGACACTACGTACGAGCCACGTCGCACTGCGAGGCCGGCTCTGCCTGGCAGTTCGCAGTGGGCGTGTGAGGCCGTCGCGCGCTAGTGTGTCCTGCATGGCTGAAACGTAGGGAGATGTCGGCGCCTCGATACCGAGAGCGGGGGCACATAATGGCATGAGAGAGGATCAGAGTTGAACTACGGCGGCTGGATGCTGAGGTGCTGAGAGGAACTAAGTGCCTGCAGTCAATTCAAAGTCGGCTGGAATGCCTGCTGCAATACAGCAGCAAGTAGCCCATCCGCCCCCCTGATCCCGGATCTCCAATAATCCATCTCCAAAAACCCATCCCAGAACCATGCTCGAGTGCTGCGGCGCTGCCTGACCCTGATAGTGACGGCTTGGGAGTGATGGAAGACAGAAGGTGAGCGAGCATGACTGTGACGCACTGCGCATTACGTCTGCAGCCTAAGAGAGGATTGGCAACAGTGAGTATATGTGGCTAGATGCTGAAGGTAAGTGGTGCACCTGCTACGGCTCGTCAGCGGGCAGCAACGACGGGGACGAAGATGGCGGGAGTAGGGGAAGTGACACACCGTAAGAGGCGAGCGTCGAAGCCCTACGCATCCGCACGCGGACATTCCCCCCCTGGGGGGGGAGGAGTAGTCTCCAACGGCTGATCGAGCGCAGGCAGATGAGAGAAGTAGGAAGAACGAACGACAGAATGGCGGACGCCTGGACGAAAGCAGGAGGAGCCTCAGTACCAAAATGCTAGGGGATAGGAAGGACAGGAGGGAATGCCGTCAGGAATCCTCCTGCTGCGGTAATTGAAGTACTGGCGGTTGCTGTGGTGGATGCAGCGAGGTCGTAGACTCTGCAATCCCTGCCGTACTACGGTCACACATTTGGTAACCAGAACAGACTGCAGCTTGTGTGGTAGATCTATTACCCCCATAATCGTGGCCGTCCGCCTGTAGTGTTGGGGACCTTGGTGTCGGTGTGAGTGGTGCCTTGTATTCGGGTGTTGGGAACATAGGCTTGGGCATGGTTGGCGCTGCCATTGCGGTGGATATTTCCTGTCGTTGTCCTAGTTCTGCTTGGCGTAGGCTGCGCTGTCGTACTTCTGACAGGTATTCCTGATGTTGCTGCTGGTGGTTGCGCATCGTCTCGATGTAGTCCAAGAACCATTGGTCGTTGTTGTCGTGGACGCAATGCTTTTCTAGGTGCTCCGTGTGTGTATAGGTATTGTGGTGGCTCCCGTGCGTCCGTCTTGGAACCGTAGCAGAGGTGCCCTTGGTGAGAAGTAAATCTGCGTTGTGCTCCTCCTCCTCCTCCTCCTCCTCCTCCTCCTCCTCCCCTTCCACCTGCTCCCTCCTCCTGCTTTGTGCTCCTCCTCCACCTCCTACTCCTCCTGCTTTGTGCTCCTCCTCCTCCTACTCCCACTCCTCTTCCACCTCCTACCCCTCCTACTCCTCCTGCTCTGTGCTCCTCCTCCTCCTCCTGCTCCTCTTCCACCTCCTGCCCCCTCGGCTCTGGGCAGGTGGCCCCTGCTCCTCTCCACCTCTCCCCCTCCCTGCCCCCCCCGCCCCTCATCTCCTTCCTCGTCGTCCTCGGTCCCCCTCCCCCTTCCCCCTCCCCTCGCTCCTCCTCCCTGCCCCCCCCTCCCTTCCCTCTCCTCGCTTCCACCTCTCCCCCTCCCTGCCCCCCCCCCCCGCCCTCACCTCCTTCCTCATCGTCCTCGTCCCCCTCCCTGTCCTCCTTCCCTCGCTCCTCCTCGCTCCTGCTGGCGCGGCATGGGCCCGCAACGGCGGTGTCGCAGGCGGGCTCGGCCGGCTGGTCCCCGACAAGCCGAAGGCCCCGCTCGTGCTTCGGACGGTCTCCGACGACCCGCGCAGGTCCCCACAGCCAGCTTCTCAGGCCGGCCCCCCGTCAGGAGGAGGAGGGGAAGGGGACGCGGAAGACGAGGACGACAAGGGGCGGGGGTGGAGGGGGGGTGGGAGATGGGAACGCATGGTGGGAAAGTGAGGGTGTAAGCAGAAGCGGAAGGGAGGATATACATAAGGATTATGCTGGATGATGCTACTTAATTCCCACGCATATGGAAAGACTGTGCCAAAGTGCTTGCACCGTGTGAGTTAAAATTTACAGGAGTGCTCCTGTGGTGGGGTGGCGGCCCTCCCATAAACGCGTCAGTCGACCCTTGGCCGTCCGAGCTAGGGCGGGCATACAGCTCTCCTTCACAAGGCTCGTCCATTTACACGGAGCGTAAGAAGCACACCGCCTGCTAAACACACGCGTGGGTCTGAACCCTAGGCGGTGTCCCAGCCCCTGTGCCTTTGGGATCCGGGCCTGACGGGAGTCGAGCTCCTCAGCTTCTGTACCCGGCGGCCCGCTCGGGGTCTGGGCCGCGACCCTCGGTTTTCTTGGCCTCCCGGGGGCGCACGGCGGGGGGAGGGGGAGGCATCAGAGGAGCAGCAGGGAACGACTCGGCGGCCTCACTCGGGGCGAGTCCTATGATGCCACTCGCTTTTTCAGCAGTCGTGTCGACCATGTCGGACGACATCGCTGCTAATCGCACAGCAAGCTCGAGATCGTCTGCTACCATGTGAAGCTTCTGCTCGTATGCCTGCTGCTGCCAGGAGGGGTGCACACACAATTTAGCTCCCTTCTTCGCGTATTTATTCGCGAAGCGGTTGCCCCGAAAAAGGCGCTCACCCATGTCACGCCGCTGGGCTCGGGTGGCGTGCACCTTTACCTCAGATGCAAGAGGCAGTGTTGCGGGAGTGTTGCGGGCCAAAACGGATCACGACGCCCGACGGTTTCGTGCCGTGGGTCATCCTGGCCGCATGGGGCCGTCCCCGAGCCGAGCCAGAACGCCGTGCCCTCTGAGGGCTTGCCTCCAAGGGGCTTCCAATTTCTCGCGCGAGCTGATCTCTGCACTGCAGCTGAGAGTGTGACGGGGGCCTGGGACACACAAATAAATAAACACAAATAACAGGATTCCTCATATTTTCCCATCTTTTCTGGATTTGTGTCTTCCCCCCCACTTCCCATATTCTCCAATATTTTTCGGGGAATCGACGATGAATTGTGTCTGTGTGTTTTTTGTTCCCTCCTGAGAGTGACCCATCCGAACCCGGCGAGTACAGACCCTGCTGGAGCAGGGGAGGGGCGAGCCTCACCGGGAGCACCCCAGGAGCAGGACGGCTGAGTCGACTCGGCGCGCGTGCCGCGGCAGCGCCCTCTGGGCCCCGCGGAGCTGGCGGCGTCCGGCCGAGGTGCCGCAGCCACCGTCGCTGACCTCGGCGCCGGTGTCCTCCACCAGGGCTGGACCTAAACGTGGTCTGTCCGTTTTGTGTTCGCTTTGCTTTTCGTTTTGCGCCACCTGCTTTCCTGTGCCTCCCTCCCGGGACGAAACACAAGACACAGCCGAAGTCTAGCAAAACAGCGTTTAGTGAAGGGGCCCGGGGCCCTGGGACACACAAACAAAGACACACAAATCACAGGATTTCCAATATTTTCCTGTATGTTCTGGGCTTCTGTCTTCCCCCCTCCACTTCTCATATTTTTTGGGGAATCGACGATTAATTGTGTCTGTGTGTTTTTTCCCCTTCTGATGTATTAGGTCCAGCCCTGCTCTCCACCGGCCGCTGGCGCCCGCCGAGAGCCGCCGAGCCGCGACAGGCCTCCAGGGGTGCGCGAGGTGCCGCGCTAGGGCCTGGCCGCCGCCGCCGCCACGGCCGCCACGGCCGGCATCGTCGTCGTCGTCGTCGTCGTCGTCGTCGTCGTCGTCGCCGTCATCGTCGTCGTCGCCGTCGTCGTCAGCGCAGGCCCGTGTTGCGCCGCACCCCGCTGACCCTGCTTGGCGGCGCGCACAAGGGGGTGGAGGGAGGGGGGAGGGCTTCTTAGAAGCAGGGGGGCTCCTAAGAAGCCCTCCCCCCTTCCCCCACCCCTCCTCCTCCTCCTCCTCCTCCTTCTTATTATTATTAATATTCTTCTTATTCGTATTACTCTTATTATTTTATTATTATTCTTATTATTAGTATTATTCTTATTATTATTATTATTCGTCTTCGTATTATTCATCTTGTTCGTCTTCTTGTTCTTATTCATAGTCTTCTTCTTATTGTTAATGTTATTATTATTATGATTATTATTGTTAGTATTATTATTCTTATTAATATTAGTAGTAGTAGTAGTAGTAGTAGTAGTAGTAGTAGTAGTAGTAGTAGTAGTAGTAGTAGTAGTAGTAGTAGTAGTAGTAGTAGTAGTAGTAGTAGTAGTAGTAGTAGTAGTAGTAGTAGTAGTAGTAGTAGTAGTAGTAGTAGTAGTAGTAGTAGTAGTAGTAGTATTCCTCTTCCTCTTCCTCTTCCTCTTCCTCTTCCTCTTCCTCCTCCTCCTCCTCCTCCTCCTCCTCCTCCTCCTCCACCTCCTGCCTCCTCCCGCCTCCCGCCTCCGCGGCCTCCCAGGGCGGCGGCGCCCTCGCCCCGCCGGGGTCCTTCGGCAGCATGCCGCTCTCCTGGGGGGGGGGGGGGCACGCGCGAGGCGGGCGGGCCCCGCTCGCCGCTCCAGTGGGGCGGGGGCGGGCGGAGGAGGGGGGGGAGGAGGAGGAGAAAGAAGAGGAGGGGGGAGGAGGAGGGAGAGAGAAGAGGAGGGGCGAGGAGAGAGGCTGAGGAGGAGGGGGGAGGATGGGGGAGAATGGGGGGGGAGGAGGAGGGAGAGAGAAGAGGAGGGGGAGGAGAGAGGCGGAGGAGGAGAGGGGGAGGATGGGGGAGAAGGGGGGAGGATGGGGGAGGGGGGGGGACGGGGGAGGATGGGCAGAGGAGGGGGGTGGGGAGGAGAGAGAAGAGGGAGGGGGGGGGAGGAGAACGGCTGAGGGCGAGGTGGGGCAGGTGGAAGGAGCGAAAGGGCGAAAGAAGAGTCCTGTGGAGGACGGAGAAGACGACGAGGGATCAGGCCGAGGCACAACATGCGATTCGAACGAGGGCTGGCGGGCCAGGAGAAGGGGCACGGGCCGGATTCCCAACGCAATGGTCCGGCGCCGTGCGCACAGGCCAAGGACCGCTAAGGGGCTACGTTGGCTAGCTGACAGCCCCACGGCACCAGCCGCTGCCAGCTAGCCACGTCGCCCACCTAGCGGACCTCGCGTCCCGACTGAGCAGCTTGAATGCGCCAAGCCTGCACAGAGGCTCGCTCTGCCTGGCCTTGGCAATCGGCAAGTAAGCCTCGCCAGACTGGGTCTCGATGGAGACGCGTGCGCCGCATCAGCGGCACATCAGAAACTTGGGCGTGACGTGGACCAGGTGGCCACGAAAATCAAAGGCCTTCAACACCTGCACCTGCAGGCCATCACAAGTGAAGCCCAGCTCCTGCAGATCAAGGGAGACTGCAGCACTTCGCGCCCTCGGGAGGAGGCCAGCGTGCCGCTCAGCCCGCACAGCAGAAAGAAACAGATGCCGTGGCGCCGGCTCGCACCGCACTCCGGGCTCCTCAGGCTGCTCCAGCTTCGCTCGTGAGAGCGGTGTCTTGCCAGAGCGGTGGCACCAAGTGCGCCTCACCCCCCACTCTCCGCCACCTCGAGTGAAGGGGCCCTGGGACACATAAATCCATACACACACATTCCAGGATTCCCCATATTGTCCATATTTTTTGGATTTTCGTCTTCCCCCCACTTCCCATATGTTTGAACATTTTCCTGGGAGTCGACGATTCATTGTGTCTGTGTGTGTTTTTGTTCCCTCCTGATCGAGGTCGTGAGCAAGAAGGGAACGTGTCCTCGCCATGGGGGTTCGGCGAGGGCCAGCAGGCACGGATGCGGGCCCAGCCTCACTCGCGACCTACTGAACCGCCCGAGTTAAAACAAAGGCACGTCTTCTTCGCATCGCTCAGGTGGGCCTTGAGCTACGACGCGGCACTCTCTGCAACTGCGTGCCGACGGGCACCCAGCTTCGCAACAAAAAGTCAGCCCACATGTTCCCAAGAGGATCGAACACCGCCGTGGGCACAGACCGATCCTGGCTCGAAAGGTCAGCGCCGAAGAAAAGGACGTCGAGGTCTCCATGGGCCGGCGTCCCATCTTACGATCGGGCGCTCCCAGACAGGCGCTCCCGCAGGGCATACATGTTCTTGCGCTTGCCACAGCCCATGGCCAGGTCGTCCGACCAGCGCTGGGCCTCCAGCGCTGCAGACAAGTGGTCGCTACCCGAGGAACGGTTTGAGTGGCCCCAGCCAAGGGCCCCAAAAGAGCCCGTTTGGGCCAGGGAGGAGAACGGGAGAGAGGAGGTTTTGAGTCCGAGAGGGCAGATGGCGAGGAGGACGGAGGGCTATGCGGGACTATGCGGTGCAGCAGAGGACGACGCGGCGGCGCAGCGGCGGCCACTGGTTTCGAAAGAGAACTCAGGCCCCAAGCCGACCCTGGGCGCTTGCGGATTTCTCGCACTTCTCTCACACATTCTCGCACGAGCTGATCTCTGCACTGTAGCCTAGAATTGCTCGTCCGAGCCCCCGCGGCAACAGAATTTGCTGCCACTGCCTTGGTTCTCGAAAGACCCGTTCCCCGCACTGCAGCTGAGAATCCTCCCGGTCCCACGCAGTTCATGACATCGGGCTCTAACTTCACCTCCCACTTCTCGCAGGATGGCGTCCGAGCCGCTGAGCCGCCCAGTTTCGCCTCCCACTTCTCGCAGCGTAGCCCGATGATGTGGGGCTCCATAATCAGCGTCCTGCTCTTGTTGAGCAGCGACAGCGCCTGCTTCCACTGTCCGCCTGTCTCGCACGCGCTGTGCCCAGCGTTGTCGTCATCTCGTTGGGGCTCCAGGTGGGGGGCACTGTAGCTGATGGAGTGGGGCTTTTGCGTCGCCTTCCACTTCTCGTTGAGTAGCGCAAGAGCCTACTGCCGCTGCCCGCTCTTATCGCAAACGATTTGGTCTCCAGCTTCGCCTCTCCCTTCTCGCACACGTTGCTCCCAACGCTACTAGTGCCTAGTTTGGGTTCCCGCTTGGCCCCCAGCTTCACGCAGGACGGGGCCTCGGCCTTGTCGCTCCCACAGCACCTTGGCTTGTAAGTGATGCCGTCGGGCTTTCGCTTCGCCTTCACCCTTTCGACGAGTAGCGCTGGAGCCTGCTGCCCCTGCTCGCCTTTCTTACGTGAGGCGAGGCCGCCATGGGGCGTGCCCTGATCCCAGCGCTGAAACTGATGACATTGGGCTCGTCCTTCGCCGACGCCTGGCTCACGCTCGCAGCGACTGTTTGTCGCCGCCGCGCTGTAGCTGACGATGTTGGGTTCGCCCTTCGCCGTCCGGTCGCCTTCGTGCTCGCTGTTCGTCGTCGTCCTCGTCGCATTGTACTTGATGACGTCGGGCTCGTCCTTCGCCGTCGCCAGCGCTGTAGCTGATGACATCGGGCTCGGGCTTCACCTCTCGTTGTTCGCAGCTAGACGTCCGGTCGGCGCTCTCCCTGATCCCAGCGCTGCCGCTGCTGGCATTATGATCAAGCTTCGCCTGGTGGCCGCTGTGACAGCCGCTGTTGTAGCTATGCCGCTCTTGCGCTTTTGCCCTTCACGTCAAAGGTGACCTCTGGTGACCTGATCTCTGCCTGAAGGGTTATCCGCACCGCACGTCCTTGATGGCGAGGCGAGAAGGGGGGAAAGAGAGACGGGTGAGAAACGAGGACACCCTCGCGCGCGCGTGCCTCGGCGGGGCTTCGTCCCAGCGCTGCTGCTGCAGAGCCCAGGGGCCCACCAGTCTTGATGGCTCGTCAGCCGCGTTGCCACTCCCAGGTTGGCGGCCGATAGCCGGGGCCCCTCCTTGCGCGGGAGGAACGGCTGGGCTTGAGCCAGCACGGCCAGGGAGGAGGACGGGTGGCGAGAGGCAGAGGGAGGAACGGCGAGGCGGAGCCGTTGGGAGTCGGGGCACGCAGCACGCAGAGGACGAAGACGAGGAGGGGGAGAGAAGGAGTGCGGGGGTGCTCGGGGTGGCATGTCGCAGGCTGGGGCGAGGAGATTACCGCCAGTGGCGCCCCCCTTCGCCATCGCCCTCACCCCCCAAGGAGCAGGGTGCTGGGGAGATGGCATCCCCGTTCTGCTCTCCACGTCCCGTCCCCCCTTCCCCTCGCCCTACCAAGGCCCCTTCCTCGCCCCATCTGGACAGCGCACTGGCACGACCGTGTAAGAAATCCCATCTGCCGCTGCCGCCCGCGCTGGGGAGAGGCGGCCGGCCAGTCCAGTCCTTGTAGTAGGCCTCCAGCACAGCGACGGCGTCGGCAATCGCCGTCTGGGCCTGCTGCGCATCCTTGATGGCCAGCGCGTTCTCCTCTGGTGACGGGCATCGGTGGTGGCAGAAGCAGGCAGCATGAGCTGCTGGCCTCGAAGAGGGCAAGGCGCTTTAGCGTTTGCGTTCCCGTGGCCTTGCGCCCGCCACCGACACTACGAATAGCTATCCGACTTGCGTATGCGCCACTGCTGGGCACGCTCCGTGCCAGGGGCAAAACTATTCCGAATCGACAGGGCCAGAGGATCTGATCTCCAGAAACGCCGCAGCACAAAGCGCAGAAGGAAATCGTCTCTGGTTTTGCCCATGCGTGAATCAACGCGCAACCCATAATCCAGCGGCCCTCAAGAGGGCTGCTGGTCAGGATGCGATCCTCCTCCTCCTCCTCCTCCTCCTCCTCCTCCGCATTCCCTTCCCAATTCCCCATGCCCCCACCTCTTCCATCCTCCACCTCCTCGTCCCCATCCCTCATCCGCAGCATCCACCTCATCTGCCTTCGCCTTTTTGGTCGCTCATCGCCCTTCTTCTCCTCTTCATCCTCTTTACTCCTATTCGCTCCCGCTTACCATCATCATCAGCATCATCAGCATCAGCATCAACATCATCACCACCACCACCATCATCAGCATCACCATCATCACCATCAACAGCATCAACACTACCATCGACATCGTCATCATCAGCAACAACATCATCACCGCTCTCCGTCAGCGGTCATCCTTGCTATCCTCCGCCTCTCAGCATCCTCCGCGTTACTCCCACTATTGTACTCAGTGAGACGAGGCGGATGTGCGTGCAAGTAGATGGGTCCCGACAGCGGAGTGACTTGGCTGTCAGGTGGCGCCCGACTCCACAAGCAGGGACCTGTAATAATCAAACGGAGTGGAACGAGTGTTTGCAAGGCGGCGACGGGGCGGCGACGACGAGCACGGAACCGCCAGATCGACACCCACCCCGTTCTTCGGACCACAAATAACAGACCCTAAGTGCAAACACATTTGGGGAAATATGAGTTTAGCACCTGGCATCATACGCACGTGGCCTCACGCAGACACCGGTGAATTTAGCAGAGCTGAGCCTGTGATGCACGATTCCACAAGCCATGTGTTTTCCCTCCTCATCCTGCTCCTACTCCCTTCTGCCGCTGGCGGCTGAATTGAAAGCTGCAGGGGCTGGAGTATGAAACTATGCTGGCGGCATTCGTTGCCAGGGGTAGAAAAAGGCCAGTGGGGAAAACCAGGGCAGCAAACGAGGTGGGCCTCCTCATGCTCCTCATCCTCCTCCTCGCCCGCCTCCCCCATCTCGCATCCTCCCCTCGCTGTGATTGGATAGCTTTTGGAGGTGGCTGAGCCGAGACATTCAAGTAGATATGCGTTGCATGGCTTTGGTCGGTTCCAAAATCAGTGCTCCAGCTTGCAAAGAGCAGGATCGAGCCAACGTGCCATATGATACCGGGAACAAGAAATCTGCTGCTCTCCATTCTGCTGGTTCATCGGGATATGCAGCTTGTCCGCAAATATTCAGGAGAGATGCAGCGGAAATGGTATCTCACTTCCTCAACCTTGCGCTCCTCCTGCCTTATCGGAGACCTCCTCCTCCTCCACTTCCTCCTCCTCGTTCGTTGACTTCAGGCACGTGTTTGTAGATGCCCATAATCAAAAAAAAGAGGTGTCGTACTGCGGGGAGGGTAACAATGAAGGTGTGAGCGACACCTCCCTGATGCCCGGAGACGGCGGCGACCCGCCGTTCGCGTACCCTCGGAGGGGACAAAAAGGTCGGGGGGAGCCGACCATCCACCGACACGAGTCTTGGCCAGGCCAATCCTGGGCACAAGATCGGTCAGAATCCTTGACGGCTAACTCAGAGGGCGTATCTAGCGGTCCTCGGCCCAAGAATGGCATGGCCATCGTCGGAAAGGTGGATGGTGGTGTCCTCCCCCCAAAAAAAAACAAAACGAACTGTCCTGCTTGCCCACCTTGCGGATCTCAACCGACTCCTTCATGTGGACCGTGATTTTCTCCACCATCTGGTGCGCGCGGCGATATCACAGTGGAGCGTCATTGAAGATACGCATGGGCAGCTGAGGGTGTTGTGATCGGCGACACTCGCGCATGCACCTTCCTGTCATCCAAGATCCAAGATCACTTCCTGTCTTCCCCGGGTCGTCCATATCCTCCTCCTTTTCAGTATGTTTCCCTCGTTTTCTGCCTGCTCCTGAACATGCTTTTCCCTGCTGCCCCTGTTGTTCGTCCTGACCCTCGTTCCCTGCTCCTCCCGCCAAGTTCCAGCGAGTCCCGACCAAGCGCGTCTGAGCTCCTCTGCCAGAGCTCCCTGACGACTTCGCTGCCGGCTCAGGCTTGCGGGCGGGCGCTGGCCAAAGACAGCGGACCAAGAGGCGGAGGCGGCGCCAGGGGTCCCGTGAGGCGTCCAGAGGCGCCCGGAGGCCGCCCAGACGGGCCAATGACACCTCGACGCCGGGACGCAAAGCGCGAAAGCAGAAGAGGAAACGGGAAGCGGAGACGGACCCAGCGCTATCCGGTGACTTGCTTTGGCCTGTGCGGGGCCTCCAGAAATCCCGACCCCTTCCTTCCCCAGGGCTGGGTTCTCATTCTGCGTCGTGCCTTATGGTCCTGGGACCCGGCGAGGGCCCCGGGAGGCAGGAAAGGCCGAAACACCGCCTTGCCGTCGCTCGGACGTCCATTTCCCGTGCATTTTTCGGTATCGTGCGTGTTGTTGTTTGCTCGATGGTCCAAGATGGTCCTCGATGGTTTTCGCCGAGAAAAATGCACACGTCCGAGCGATGCCAAGCCGCCTCAGATGCTTCCAGTACGTTGGAGGACGAGGAGGAGGTCGTGACACAGCCATCAGCGTAAGCGACACGGGAAGGCGGCGGAGGAGAGGGATGTACGCCGCGAGGCTGCTCTCGACGCCTGCGTCAGTCAGGGCCGCAGGGCGGCGTGGCGCTCGCGCCACGGAGACGACAGAACAACAAGGCAAAAGTGCCGGGCCCGGGCGTGGCCAAAGATTGTCACGGGCCTGCTCGCTAGGGTGCCAAGCTCTTCTGAGAGCAGCCTGCTGGGAGAAAGAGCCAGGGAGAAGTGGCGATGGAAACGAGGAGGGCGAGGAGGATCACGACGACAGCGGCAGACAGGAGGGCGAGAACGGAGGGCAGAGAAAAGGCGGGACGCAGTGGCAGCTGCGACAGAGACGGGCCCCGTTGCGACCAGCGGGCTGCGAGCCTCGTCGGTCGCCGACGCAACCCCATCCACCCTGGTGGGGGAAGTGGCCAAGGGTTAGGTCGGGCGTGTCCTCCTACAGGTGGATCTTGGACGACACATGTTTAAAAATACTCAAACAATGCTCTAACATAGTTAAACATTATAGAAAATCGCCCCTATTTTATGTTTAAACTATTTTTTGATATTCCCCCTGGAGAGGGACACGCCCGACTTACGCCCAGGGAGGCGGTGGGGGGGACGGCAGGGGGAGCAGCGCGAGATGGGGCGCGTATCTGGGTCCGCGAGCCTCGCGCCCCCTGCTGCGAGACAAAGAGAAGCGGCCATCTTCGCGCCATCGACGATACCCCGACGAAATCAAGCCGGATGGGAGGGGCCTCGTTGTAGACCTGGATCTCTCCATCCCCATTTCCTCAGAAACCTCCTCTCCCTTCTTCCCTCACGTCTCCTCCTCCCTCCTCCCTGCCGGAGGGGAGGGAGGCCTCGTTGTGAGCCTTGATCTCGTTCGCGAGCTCCACGATGGCGGCATCCGCCTTGTCGATCTTCGCCTGCGGGCACCCTCCTGCTCCTCCTCGGCCATGTCTCCTCCTCCTCCATCGTTGCTCCTCCCCCTCCTCCTCATCATCCCCGCCTCCCCCTCACTCTGTCTCTCGCTCTCTCTCTCTCTCTCTGTCTCTCGCGCTCTCTCTCTCTCTCTCTCTATATCCTTCTCTCCTTGTCCCATACCACCTCATAGCAATGTTTCATCTGTCCAACCCATCCGATCTCCTTCTCCCCAAACAAGATCCTGCTGCATGCATGTTCGCAATGGCCTGTTGCGAAAGTCACTTGTCAGAGTGAGGGGTCCGAACGGTCATTCACTGTCCCTGGGCGCTTGGTCAAAGTGGGGTTCCGTGGTGCGGATTGCTGTTGCGATGGTGCATTGTTGTTGTGTTGTTGCGTTGTTGTTGGTGATGGTGTTGTTGTCGTCGCCTTCGAACGCGACCCACGCCGAGACCCATCCCGCGACCCACCCGCGACCCACCCACATTGCTTTGATGAACAATCGAACTGCGGCGGGTAAAAAGATCGGCGCCTGCGGCGGGCTTCTTCAGAGCCTCGCAGACTGCCGACGACCCCGCCGCCCCTTCACTTTCATCCGCAACTGCGGGGTGCTGTGTATCAACCTGTGTCTGTATGGGCTAGCCCACTGTGGAAATATTCTCGTCCATATTCAGCATGTCCAGGGTGTCGTATGACTTAGCTGTGCCCACATCTCCGTGGGGCACCTGCTAGCATGTCGGTTTATCACTGGATGTGTGTGTACTCCCTTCCATCCTCCCCCCTCCTCCTCATCAAAGGCCCCTCCTCTCGTCATCGCTTCGTCTCACTCCGATGCTGCCTCAATATGCTCCTCGTATTCCCCGCCTCTTCCTCCTCCTCGTCCTCATCATCAGCATCACCATCATCAGCATCATCAACATCAGCATCTTCATGATCATCATCATCATCATCATCATCATCATCATCATCATCATCATCACCATCATCATCACCATCATCATCATGATCAACATCAGCACCATCAACAACAACAACAACAACTTAAACATGATTGCCCTCGCCAACACATCGCCACTCGCCCTCCCCGACGGCAGCTGGGCCAGGCCTGCAGCGCGTCCATCTTCTCCACCTCGGAAAGAGGAGAAGGAGAAGCTGCAGCGGAAGGAGGGAAGCAACGGGGAGGTAGAAGGAAGGAGGAGGGAGCAGGGAGGAGGAGGAAACAGGGAGGACGAGGGAGGACGCGTTTCGGGGGGGAGGACGACGGAGCAGAAGGGAGGTGGACGAGGAGGAGGGGGTCAGGGGGAATAGTGGGGTGGAGGACCGCCTTGTTCGACATAGAGGCGTCCGTCTTGTTAACCTCGAGGTCGCACCAGGCCTGCGGGCCGCCAAGGCCACGCGACTACGAGGAGTAGGGGGGGGGGGATGGGAGGGCGAAGGGAAGAAACAGCGTCATGAGATGGGGAGGGACGGAGGAGAAGGAGGAAGAGGAGGAGGAGGAGGAGGAGGAGAAGGAGACACATAACATATGCGGAGGAGGAGGAGGAGGAGGAGGAGGAGGAGAAGGAGACACATAACATATGCGGAGGAGGAGGAGGAGGAGGAGGAGGAGGAGGAGGAGCAGCAGGGGAATAGTGGAATGGGGGCGACGAGGAAGGGGGGGGGGAGGAACATCCCGATACATCGATGCTCCTGTCCTTCCTTCCTGCTGTTCCCCCGAAGTCTACTGAAGGCAGAGGGGACGCACAAGCGCAACGATGCCATGATGTGTAATGATCCGCCGCCGTACTGCTAAGCACTTAGTGGAGTGCCGCTGGACAGGAAGCGGCAGGCGTTCGGGTGGCCTTTCCTCCAATCGTCACAATGGAACGGGGTGGACGCGTCACAGACGCACGGAGGTCGCGGCCGACAAGCCGTGCACACACCGAACCACTGCCCGTGCAGCCGCGAGACCACAGGGACCGCGGAATCTCAAGCGCGAGACGGCTGCGGCTGTAGCGCGGCGCGACGTGCTGGCACGAGCCACGCGCCCCCCGTCGGCCTGCCTACCGGGGTCTGCCCGGGGGGGGCGGGGCGCCGCGCGCGGCGCCGCGCTGCACGCCCGCAGTGCCGAGGAGGCAGTGCTGCGATCCGCATCTGCGCGTCGCCGCCCGGGGGGGGCTCGGGCCCGAGCGGGGCGTACCCCGGCCGGTCTTGGCGGTGGCCCGCGGGCGGGCGGGCCCACCACCCCGCGGCGAGGCCGAAAGCAGCCCCGAGCCTCGCGCGCTCGCGGCTGCAGCGGGCGAGCGCTCGGCTCGCCCGTGGCGAGCCGGCGCCTGCGCGCGCGGGCATCCGGGGGCACGGCTGCTCCTCCTCGCCGAGGCGCCACCGGCGCGCGCAGGTCCACGCAGCTCCATCGCGCAGGACGCGGTGCCGCCTGACGACGCCTAGTGTTCGTGGATGCCATGACAATGGAAGCCCTAACAGCCCGATCGTTGAATCAACACATGCTTAAAATGTTTGAGACATGTCCCAAACCTGTTCCAACATGTTGTTTTGCATGTTTACGACATGTTTAGAACATGTTTTATCTTCGCAGGACGAACGATTTTCCTCTTGAGGTGAAAATGGCCATGAGGAGTTCGCGAGACAACGTCGGCGCCGCCGAACGGACGGCGACCGGAGGAGCTGTTTGCAGCAAGAGGAAAAAACTTTCGTCCTGGGGATGAGCGTTTTGGCATTCGGATTCGTTGGTTACCACGTACCCGACACACCACATCTCACAGGCCTTCCGTTGTTGGTTACCACACAGCCGACACCACATCTCACAGGCAGTCCGTTGGGTGAGGAGACGCAGGGCCGAAACGCACTGCCTTCGGACTCGTTGGTTACCACGTAGCCGACACACCACATCTCACAGGCAGTCCGTTGTTGGTTACCACACAACCGACACCACATCTCACAGGCAGTCCGTTGGGTGAGGAGACGCAGGGCCGAAACGCACTAGCGTTTTGGCCTTCGGACTCGCTGGTTACTACGTAGCCGACACACCACATCTCACAGGCAGTCCGTTGTTGGTTACCACACAGCCGACACCACATCTCACAGGCAGTCCGCTGGGTGAGGAGACGCAGGGCCGAAACGCACTTACGCAGGACGAAAGATTTTCCTCTTGAGGTGAAAATGGCCATGAGGAGTTCGCGAGACAACGTCGGCGCCGCCGAAAGGACGGCGACTGGACGAGCTGTTTGCAGCAACCGGGGGGGGGGGGATATATATGTATTCATGTTGAGTGGGGCCCGCTCGCGCGGGGAGCTGATGGGAGTGCGTGAGACGACGCAGGGCCCATCGCGGAAAGTTGATTACCGAACCCCCTCACACGGGCGGTTTGCGGGGTCCGCGGATCCGACTTCATCTGGTCTCCTGGTTTAATTTAATAATACTAATTTAAAACAGGGTAGAAATCGGATCCACCGTAAAAAATGTGACCGGACACGGATCCAAATAATCCGAAATCGGATCCGTACGGACGGACATCGGATCCACCGTAACAAACACTAAAACCACATTTGGATCCGCGCGAGCTTCATGAGATCCGACGGCGGTTATCTCACACGGGTCTGATGAAGACTTCACACCGTCGTTCTGGGCCCAAGAGGAAAAAACTTTCGTCTTGGGGATGAGCGTTTTGGCCCTCGGACTCGTTGGTTACCACGTAACCGACACACCACATCTCATAGGCAGTCCGTTGTTGGTTACCACACAGCCGACACCACATCTCACAGGCAGTCCGTTGGGTGAGGAGACGCAGGGCCGAAACGCACTGAGCGTTTCGGCCTTCGGACCCGTTGGTTATCACGTAGCCGACACACCACATCTCACAGGCAATCCGTTGTTGGTTACCACACAGCCGACGCAGTCCGTTGGGTGAGGAGACGCAGGGCCGAAACGCACTGCCTTCGGACTCGTTGGTTACCACGTAGCCGACACACCACATCTCACAGGCAGTCCGTTGCTGGTTACCACACAGCCGACACCACATCTCACAGGCAGTCCGTTGGGTGAGGAGACACAGGGCCGAAACGCACTTACGCAGGACGAAAGATTTTCCTCTTGAGGTGAAAATGGCCATGAGGAGTTCGCGAGACAACGTCGGCGCCGCCGAACGGACGGCGACCGGACGAGCTGTTTGCAGCAAGAAGAAAAACATCGTCCTGGGGATGAGCGTTTTGGCATTCGGACTCGTTGGTTACCACGTACCCGACACACCACATCCCACAGGCAGTCCGTTGTTGGTTACCACACAGCCGACACCACATCTCACAGGCAGTCCGTTGGGTGAGGAGACGCAGGGCCGAAACGCACTGCCTTCGGACTCGTTGGTTACCACGTACCCGACACACCACATCTCACAGGCCTTCCGTTGTTGGTTACCACACAGCCGACACCACATCTCACAGGCAGTCCGTTGGGTGAGGAGACGCAGGGCCGAAACGCACTAGCGTTTTGGTTTTCGGACTCGTTGGTTACTACGTAGCCGACACACCACATCTCACAGGCAGTCCTTTGTTGGCTGCCACACAGCCGACACCACATCTCACAGGCTGTCCGTTGGGTGAGGAGACGCAGGGCCGAAACGCACTTACGCAAGACGAAAGATTTTCCTCTTGAGGTGAAAATGGCCATGAGGAGTTCGCGAGACAACGTCGGCGCCGCCGAACGGACGGCGACCGGACGAGCTGTTTGCAGCAACCGGGGGGGGGGAGGGATGTATGTATTCATGTTGAATGAGGCCCGCTCGCGCGGGGAGTTGATGGGAGTGCGCGAGACGACGCAGGGCCCATCGCGGAAAGTTGATTACCGAATCCCCTCACACGGGCGGTTTGCGGGGTCCGCGGATCCGATTTCATCCGGCGTCCTGGATTAATTTAATAATATAAATTTAAAACAGGGTAGAAATCGGATCCGCCGTTAAAAATAGGACCGGGCACGGATCCAACTAATCCGAAATCGGATCCGTACCTACTGAAATCGGATCCACCGAAACAAACACTAAAACCACATTTGGATCCGCGCGAGCTTCATGAGATCCGACGGCGGTTATCTCATACGGGGCTGCTGAAGACGTCACACCGTCGTTCTGGGCCCAAGAGGAAAAAACTTTCGCCCTGGGGATGTAGACGTCTGGGAAGTACTTGGCAACATGCTTCCTCTCCAGTGATGGTCGTCCACCCCCCGTTGGGCCCAGGCCCCCCAAAGCCTCGTGGTGCAGAGTGTGGGAGTACTCTTACGAGGGGCCCGCAGCCCCGAGGTCCGGGCGCTCCTGGGCCTTCGCGCGCGAGCTCGCGCGTGCGCTTCCCGGAGGGCCCCGAGGAGCCCCCCCAACCAGCCCAAGAGTGCCCCGAGTCTCCCGGAGATCGCCCCGGGCCGTCCAAGAAGACGCCCACAGGGCACAAGAGGCCCCCCAAACGCCCCGGGAGGGCTCCCAGGGAGCCCTCGATTGCCCCCCCCTGATGCCCAATCTCTACAAGTTCTTCGAGACCCATGACTTGCGTGCGATCCCTCGTCGTGCTCGTCAGCATGCGTTTCATTCGGGGATTGTGAAATTGGCAGCGGTCGCGCCTCCAGTCTCGTTGGTTTAGGTTGGCTGGCCTCACGCAGGAAGCTTCGAAACCTCGCGTCCAGCCCAGCAGCTTTCCACCTGTGTCCACCTCGTCAAGCGTCTAGATGTCTGGACAATTCTACGCCAGACGGCGCGCGTTGGACCCGTGGACCCAGACGAGCTGGGGGCCAGCGATGCATCAGTCCTGGAGTTTGTAGCTCTTGCAAAGACATCCTCGCGAACAGGCTCGGGTCCCAGGATGGCATGGCATTGCGAGGTGCGCCCCCATCACCTCCAGCTCCAGCGGCGGCTGATCCAGTCGGTGGCGCCGCCATACCAGCTCGTTGCACTGGCCAATCAGAACCTCAAGCAGCTCTTGGCATCAATCTGAATGCCTCGAGGCCGAGCGGGCGGTTGAGGCACAAGCCCGTGTCGCAAAATCGTGGGAACGAAGGCAAGCATGTTGGCTTGGCACATCGCGGCAGTGCGCTGCAGCAGTCTGCACTGCAACCTCTCGACAGATGCCGTACGCGAAAGCCCTCCCACCCGCTTCTCAAGCCCCACATGGACTCACGGGGAAAGCGCATAGTCTGGCCAACACAGCTCATGCCATGGCAACAAAACATGAGCACCCAAGAGGCCCCATGAGGCCCCGAGAGGGTCTCAAGCGGCATCCTCTTCCTCATCCTCGTCCTCCGTCTCTTCCCTCTCCGCCTCCTTTCTCTTCCTCTCCCAACGTTTCGCCCAAGGGCTTCCACAACGGCTAGGATAACACATGATCCCATAGCCTTTCCAAA